GTAGGTTTTTTCCTTTCATTACTTTAAAATATGTCATGCCACTCCCTTCTTCCTGGCAAAGTTTATGCTGAAAAGTCAGCTGATAGCCTTAACGGGAGTTACCTTGTACATAACTGGTTGCTTTTCTCTTTCTGCTTTTAAGAGTCTCTCTTCATCTTTAATTTTTACTGTCTTAATCACAGTATGTCTTGTTGTAGATATCTTTGGGTTCATCTTGTTTGGAACTCTGTGTTTTCTGGGCTTGGATATCTGTTTCCTTTCCTAAGTTAGGTTTTCAGCTATTTTTTCTTCAGATAAGTTCTCCCCCTTTCTCTCTCTTCTTCTGGTACCCCTGTAATGCAAATATTAGTAAATTAGTACATTAGTACCTAGAGGTATCTTTAACTGTTCTCATTTTTAAACATTGTCTTTTCTGTTCAGCTTGGATGATTTCCACTACTCTCAGTTTACTGATCTGTTCTGTATCTTTAATCTACTGTTGATTTCTTCTCATGTATTTTTTATTTCAGTTATTACATTCTTCAGCTATGTTTGGTCCTTCTTTATATTTTCGAACTCTTTGTTAGACTTCTCACTGTGTTCATCCGCTCTTCTCCCAAGCATCTTTGAGTACCTTTATGATCATTATCTTGAACTCTTTATCAAGTAGATTGCTTATCTCCACTTATCTGAGTTCTTCTGGCGTTTTATTTTGTTCTTTTTAGGAACACATTCCTCTGTTGCCTCCTTTTGCCTATGTCTCTGTTTTTTATTTCTATGTGTGTTAGGTAAGTCAGTTACATTTTGCAATCCTGGAGAATGGCCTCCTGTAGGAGATTTTCAGTGGGGCCTAGCAGCATACTTCCCACTGGTCACCAGAGGTATATGCTCTAGGGGTGCCCCCTATGTAGGCTGTATGGGCCTTTCTGACTACTGTGGGCACACTAGTAGGCAGAGCTGGCCCGCAGATGGCTTCCAGGCCCTGCCTCATGCTGAGGCTACTGCCCCTCTGGTGGGTATGGCCTGGACCTGGAGAGGCTGGCTGCAGGGCCCTGGGGGTCCTGGGCTGGTACCAGCCTGATAGTAGGTGTGGCCAAGTCATGGCATGCTGCGCCAGGTATCCAGGGGGCTCAGGCTGGTGCCACCCCCCTCGGGTGAGCAGTACTGGGTCCCAACATAGCTGGCTGCAGGACCCAGGGAGTCCCAGGGCTGGTATTGGTCTGCTACTGGGCAGGGAAGCACCTGGTGCTAATGAGATAGAGGGAGGACCCCAAAATGGTGCTTGCCAGCACCAGTGTCCTCATGGCAGAACAGGTGCCCCCAGATGGCTCCCATTAGCATCTTTGTCCCCAGAGGGAGTCCCAGTTCCCTTCTGCCTCCCTGGAAGGCTCTCCAAGATCAGCAAGTGGGTTGACCTGGGCTCCTTTCATATTACTACCTCTGCATTGGATTTCAGAGCATGTGAGATTTTGTGTGAGTCCTTTAAGAGTGTAATCTCTGTTTCCTATGGCCCTCCAGCTCTCTGTATGCAAGCCCTGCTAGCCTTCAAAGCCAGATGTTCTGGGAGCTTGCTTTCCTGGTACAGGACCCCCGGGCTAGGGAGAGCCCAGTGTGAGGCTCAGACCCCTTGCTCCCTGGGGAGAATGCCTGTAATTGTGATTATCCTCCCATTTGGGAGTTGCCTACCTGGGAGTTTGGGTCTTGCCTACACTGCAGCTCTGCTTCTCCTACCATCTTGTTGTGGTTTCTTCTTTAAATCTTTAGTTGTTGAAAATCTCTTCTGCTAGTCTTCAGGTTGTTCTCATTGATAGTTGCTCTGTATATAGTTATAATTTTGGTGTGTCCAGGGACTTCCTAAACTCCACCATCTTGGTCATTCCTCTATTTCTAGTTTTTTGATGGTAGCCATTCTGACAGGTGTGAGGTGATATCTCATTGTGGTTTGATGTGCATTTCCCTCATGATTAATGATGTAGAGCATCTTTTCATGCACCTATTGGCCATCTGTATGTCTTCTTTGGAAAAATGTCCTTCCGATCTTCTGCGCATTTTTCAGTTCAAGTGTTTGGTTTTTGCTAGTGAGTTGTATGAGTTCTTTATATTTTGGGGATAATAGCCACTTATCAGATATGTGATTTGTAATATTTTCTCCCATTTAGTAGGTTGCCTTTTCATTTTGTTCCTGGTTGCCTTTGCTGCACAGAAGCATTTTACTTTGATATAATCTTACTTGTTTATTTTTGCTTTTGTTTCTGTTTCTGGTGTCAAGTTCAGTAAAAGCATCTTTAATACCTGTGTCAAGGAACTTACTGCCTATGTTTTCTTCTAAGAGATGTATGGTTTCAGTTCTTATATTCATCTCTAATCCATTTTGAGTTAATTTTTGTGTATGGTGTAAGAAGCAGTCTAGTTACATTTTTTCAACACCATCTGTTGAAGAGACTGTCCTTTTCTCATTGAATATTCTTGGCTCCTTTGTCATAAGTTAATTGACCACATATGTGTGGGTTTATGTCTGGGTTCTCTGTGCTGTTCTGTTGATCTATGTGCCTGTTTTTATGCCAATACCATACTGTTTTAATTACTATAGCATTGTAATATTGTTTGAAATCAGGGAGCATGGTACCTCCAGCTTCATTCTTCTTGCAAAGATTTCTTTGGCTATTTGGAGTCTTTTCTGGTTTTATATAGACTTTAGGATTTATTGTTCTAGTTCTGTGAAATATGCCATTGGTATTTTGATAGGGATTGCATTGAATCTGTAGATTGCTTTGGGTAGTGTGCACATTATAATGATATTCTTCCAATCCGTGATCATGGACTGTCTCCATTTATTTGGGTCTTCAATTTCTTTTGTTAATGTCTTGTAGTTTTCAGCATGTAGGTCTTTCACCTCCTTGGTTATATTTATTCCTGGATGTTTTATTCTTTTTGATGCATTTGTAAATGGGATCGCTTTCTTAATATTTCTTTCTGATAGTTCATTAATGTATATAAATGAAACAGATTTTTGGGTGTTGATTTTGTATCCCATGACTTTACTGAATTCATTTTAGTTCCGATTTTTTGATGGAATCTTTAGGGTTTTCTATACATAGCATCATGTCATTTGCAAATAGTGATGGTATTACTTCTTCCTTTCCAATTTGGATACCTTTTTTTTTTTTTTTTTGCGGTACGCGGGCCTCTCACTGCTGTGGCCTCTCCCATTGCAGAGCACAGGCTACAGACGCGCAGGCCCAGTGGTCACGGCTCACGGGCCCAGCTGCTCCGCACCATGTGGAATCTTCCCGTACTGGGGCACAAACCCATATCCCCTGCATCGGCAGGTGGACTCTCAACCACTGCGCCACCAGGGAAGCCCTGGTTACCTTTTATTTCATTTTATTGCCTAACTGCTCTGGATAGAACTTCCAGTACCATGTTGAATACTATCGACAAGAGTGGGCACTCTTGTCTTGTTCCTGACCATAGAAGAAAAGCTTTCAGCTTTTCACCATTGAGTATGATGTTAGCAATGGGTTGTCATATATGGTCTTTATTATGTTGAAGTATATCCCCTCTATATACCCACTTTGCTGAGACTTTTTTTTTTTTGCGTTATGCGGGCCTCTCACTGTTGTGGCCTCTCCCATTGCGGAGCACAGGCTCTGGACACGCAGGCTCAGCGGCCCTGGCTCATGGGCCCAGCCACTCCGTGGCATGTGGGATCCTCCCGGACCCGGGCACGAACCCATGTCCCCTGCATTGACAGGCGGACTCTCAACCACTGTGCCACCAGGGAAGCCCCTGCTGAGACTTTTTATCATAAATGGATGTTGAATTTTGTCAAATGCTTTTTCTGCATTTGAGATGATCATATGACTTTTATCCTTTATTTTGTTAATGTGGTATATCACATTGACTGATTCATGGATGTTGAACCATCCTTGTATCCCTAAACTAAATCCCACTTGATCATGGTATACAGTCCTTTTAATATATTGTTGAATTCAGTTTGCTAATATTTTGTTGAGGATTTTTGCACTTACATTCATCAGTGATCTTGGCTGTTATTTTCTTTTCTTGTGGCATCCTTGTCTGGTTTTGCCTTTAAATAATGGTTTCTCCTTTCTGGTACTCACCTTACTTTTCTATATAATAAACTTCTCTATTAGAATGTGTGTGTGTGTGTGTGCGTGCGTGCGCGCATGCGCATGCGCTCACCTCTTCCTCAGTAGACTTAATAATGCTCTCTGCTGAACTAGTCCTGCACTTCTAATTCATGTCTCATATTGTTATAGATCTCCTATGTGTATATGTGTGTGTGTGTGTGTGTGTGTATGTATATATTTCCACACACACTAAACTGTAAGC